AAGGCCTTACGACCAGATATGGGCTACAATACATTAGCCAACTTTCGAATAGAGAAGAAAATTGGTCGTGGACAATTTAGTGAAGTTTATAGAGCATCTTGTCTCTTGGATGGAGTACCAGTAGCTTTAAAAAAAGTACAGGTAAGATCATTTTAATTACACAAGTCATTATAAAACTATGCTAGAGAATAATAAAAAAAAGAATGTCCAGAACAATCAGGTAATGACAGCTTTAAGTTGAGAATATTTGGAAGAAATAAACTTTGTATTTTGGTTGAAATTCAGTGTCGTGCAAAATGGAAATTAACTTTTCGCTTTAGTGCTTTGTCTAAAACCAAACCCTCTGCTTCCAAATTGTTTCAGACTCACTGCAATCGTGTAGGTTAGAGTAGAATTCTGCCACACGGTCCTCAAGGATGTAATCAATCTTCACAGAAGTAGACTGCATCATCATGCTTCTCTGGAGAGGCTGGTGGGTGTGCACTGTGGACCTTCCAATCAGCAGCCCAACAACTCACTGTGCTACCAGGGATTAAAAACGCAGCTAGCACTATTTACATAGATTCCGCAATAGTTGGGGTGATCCAACAAAAGCTTTCACGATTCTGAGTTTTACGAGGCAGACTTATGTAATCAGCATTACGTATAATTGGACCATTGAATTAAGTGTTTAGTGCTCACATGAAGTTCTGCATGTCTCATTGAACGTGTTGAATGAAGTTAACACATGGCAGTCACTATTAGAGAGGGGTAACAAATTAATGTAGAGGGCTACCTAGGCAATAAATGAATCAAAAGCAAATGAAGTGAACATATACTGGGAAATGAAAAAAAAAAAAAAAAGAAAATTCCTGGAAGATGCAATATAAACAGACCATCATTCTGACTCTCTTCCGCCCCAAGAAATACTATCAAAGAAAGAGCGCTCAACTTTGAGAGACACTGAATCAGTGAGCAGAGGAAAGTATTGGAAAACCGCAGACAGCCAAGAAACAGTAAATTCACAGCAACTCGTGTACATTATGGAAACCAATTCTCCCACTGTCCCTGCCTACCCTGAACCCCCTCTCATGTGGGCTGCTGTATTTGGGAATTGGGAAGTGGATCCAGGAGAAGAGCTCATTTCCCTAGCCATCACACCCTGTGCCTGTACAAAGAGACAGGATCTCACTCCCCTGACCCCAACTCTAAAATCAACAAGATGGATCTGAGTGTGTCAGCACCTTCCCCACCTAGAAGACCATTGTTGCCTGCCAACCTACTATGAATTAATATGGAAGGCTCTCTACAGTGAAGTAAGCTCTCATCGTTAGCATCGACCTGCCTCCTTGCACACTCTATGTAGCTCAGACCTTTGAAACCAACAGGACATTTAGTCTGCATCTGCTTGTGCTCCCCCTTCTGGGTGATGCTGAGGACGCCTGACTGAGCCCGCTGTGGCTGTGCCAATAGCCAACGTTCCAAAGCAGACCTCTTGGGCCCATTCAGGGCAAGACAGTCTCTTCCTCTCCTAGTAAGAGTTGGCTGCTGGACTGATACAAACTCTTACAGAGATCCCTTGCAGAGGCGGTTCCCTAAGAAGGGACTGTTTCCCCAGGCCCCCAAACACCCCAGGGCCACTTGGGCTCTGAAACTAACAAGATGGATCTCTTCCGGGAAGTGCCAGTCCCTCCTCCTGCTGAAACAGAGCAAAGCTGACTTGTTCTTTCACTGGTCATAGCCTTCTCAGACAGAAGCCTATGCTTCTGCGCAGAGCAGCGAAGCCTCCTACCAAACCAACATGTCCCACAAACCCTGAAGGGGGCTTCCTGTGTGTGAGTTCTCTGGCTGTAAACATGGTCACAGAACCAAAGAAAGGGAGTAATAGCTGGAGAGAAAGAGTTATTTCCCCTGGTGGGAGGATTGATTAATATATAAGATCTCACCGGAATGGTGGTGCTAAGTGGTGTAGGGATTGGTCACAGTGTGTTTTCTGGTGTATTGGGGAGAGACTGAAAGTTAAATCCACAATCTAGAAAGTTTGAATCCTCATTAATCCTAAGTTAATGAAGCTGTCACAGAGAGAGAGAGAGGAAATGGTTACCCATTTATGTTCCTTGCACAAAGTAGTTTGGGCAAAATTACCAAATATTGGGGGAAAGCTAAGAAAGCGAACGCCCTCATGAAAGCAGACTCCTGCTACCAGAACATGTAATCTTTAATCTGGTTTCTAAGCAACAAGGTAGAGAGGCTTCGTAGCATCTATGAAACATATCATCCCCTCTATACGTCCATCTTAAAAAACGACTTCAGCAGAGGAAACCTCAGCTCAGCTGGGGAGTGGGTGAGAGAGAAGACCATACAGTGGGTGCCATGCAAAATGGTTTGGAGGTCACCCCAAGCCAACAGACACTCCTACCAGAATAAGGAAGCCTAACTGGAAACTCAAGTCAGAATGGACATGGGTGGATGGGTGGGGGGGCATTACATTTTTGTTGGTGGGAAACTGGGGAAGAGCAACCTCCTAATGGGGGATAAAAAAACAAAAAATGCTTTACGATACTTCTGTAGAACCCAAGGGGGATACTTAACCTGGCAGGGGAGATACCATGATCACGAAAGTGGTTTTCCCAGGGCGAGGCTTATCCATTGCACTCCGGATGTGCTGACCCCTCTGATTTCCCCAATGTGGGAGACTTGACTGCATAATTTGTGGTAGTGGGGGACTACGTTCGCTTTCTCCCCTAAAAAAACCCGAAAAAGAACCCAAGGGGAGAATATGATTAGTCCTATGTTCCTACTTGGACAGTTTTGATCTAGTTTTTATCCAGCTCTGGGTGACCCAGGCCTTGTGCTATAGACTACTGGGACTTGAGACTATATTCTTTTGAGACAAAACATCCTTCATAAGGTGACCAGGTGCTTTTGGCAGGACAGTTCTGATTTTTAACAATTTGTCTCACAGCATTTTTGGAAAGAATGCACAACAAGCTAGGGTATATGGTTTTGGGCTGCCATGTGGCTATTTTGCCAGGATATGAGTTTTATCAATGGTGTCCCACATTACCAATGTTAAAATCTGGTCACCTTATTCATAGGCCACACTCAAAGGACTTGATGTGGAAACACCACCAGGTGATCTGAGCCTTCCCTCATACTCATCTGTAGCCCTTGGACTTACGGCTGAAACTCCCTAGTGTGAGAAGTAACAGATGGATGATTGCCATCTCAAGGACATAGAGTTGGCAGGTGGTGGACTTTGGTTTGGCTTTCTTGCCTTGAGGGTATAAAGGATCTGGTGTCCCTGAACTACCATATACTTACTATTTAATGCCTTTCTTGCTTTATTATGACATGCCCTAATCCAGGAGGTGTGGCTGTGCCATTGTGATTATTATTGAAAGTTTTACCATATCACCAACTCTGATTGTCTGTATAAATAGTGTCCAGTCGCTTAAGAGTTTAATCAGTACAAGTTAATTCATGTAGTGTGGTTCATAGCTGGCTTACACTGGTATAATTTCCTTTTCTCAATAGTTTTTTTTTAATTCTATACCCTTGGCTAAATTAATGACACTATTAGTAGAACTACCTTATGCCCCAGGGAGACGATTGATAATGTTCTCTAACATAAAATGACCATGTGTTTAAGGTGAGCTAGAGACATATGTAAACCATAGATATATGAATGTATTTTGAGCTCACACTTAATTCTAACCTCAATCTAAGAACAATTAGTTCTTATGAATGGCTCTGCTTAATGCTTGCCGTCATGATGTTATCACTGAAGCTATGAATGCTGGGGAAATGTGTGCTAAAGAAACTAAATGGTGCCTGGTTATTAGCAGGAATAGCATCTGAGGCCATGTCTTCAAATAAACAGCCAACCAACTAGGCATCAGCTAAGTCCACATGTGATCCAAGGATTGTAAATAAAATTCAAAGAGGGAATTGTATTAAACCTTAAATTGTGAACACCTGGTTTGGAGAAGGCAGTGGTAGACAGTGGAAGCCCCAAATCCATTTGCAGGCTCTACACCTAGAGTAAGCCATTGGTGAATCCCCTCTGACCATAGTTAAGGGATGTGATTAGCCTTGGTATCAGAGCATTGTAACGTTGATTATGGCAGATATAGTTAGATCAAAATGTAATATCTTATTTGATTTCCCCTTTGGCCCATTTTAAAGTTATTTCAGTTTATAAAAAAAGTGAAAGGGAAATACATATGGATTAAACCTTGGTGAATCTCTCCCGACCATGGACCAGGGATGTGAATAGCCTTGCTATCATGCAGACTGCATTGGAAGGTATATTATTACAGATGTAGGTGGTTAAAATTTAACACCTTTTCATTTGATCTCCCTTTTGATCCATTTTAAATTTATTCTGTTTTTTCAGTATTTTCTGATTTACTTTCAATTGTGGAATTTTTTTCTGTCTTTGTTATTGTTAAATTTTTTGTTGTTTTCTTTTTAAAGTGTTTTTCTGTATATGAAATCCAGGATAGGTAAATTTCGAGAGGACTAACTGAATTAATGGTTCCTTGGGGTGTGTCAGTGGAGGGTGGGGGGAAATGAGGTGCCGATGATGATGAATACATGAATGAAGAAACTATTCTAGCATTGATTGTGGTGATGAGTGAACAGCTTTTCTTGATTTGATTGAGCTATTGTACTATAATTTGTGAACTATGTGCCAAGAAAATGGTTAATCAAAAATAAATAAAAAGGAAAAAGAAATCCAATGCCCCAACAAAAAAAGCAAGACACCTAAAGAATAGTGAAACTTTGATTTATGCAAATGAACACCACACAAAAGGAGTGAAAGCACAGCTTGGGAGACCCAAATCATGAAAAAAACAGAAGTACATAATACACCATTAAACATAAGAACTAAAGAAAACACAGAAAATGTGCTAAGAGAAATTTAACAAGCCATGCAAGAACAAAACGAGGCCCCCCCCCAAAAAAAAGGTAGTGCAATTGCTGGGACAGTAAGTAAAATGGGAACACAGAGGACTTTCCCGCATGTTTCATCAGGCACCAGGCAGCATGGTGATTTATAGACCAGCAAGAGCAGCAAGGCTGAGCACAGCTGAATGGAATTAGGGACTTGCAATATGCATCTTGCAATTCCAGAAGGAGATGGAAGAGGCAAAATA